TAAATGGTGCAAACACAGACTTTCTGATTTCCTACCCAACAGTCCAGACAACTCCTTTGAATAACAAAACCACAGGGCCCTTTCTAATTTAGGGCCAGTACAGCAAATGAAAGGACGACCATCTGCATCATGGGTCCCACCCACATGGTTTGCTGGGGTTCTGCTATCGTGCCAAAGGCCTCAAATTTCATATTTACCCTTTTGAGCCTAGTAAGAAGACGAGATTTCCTTGGGATTTCCAGTTAGAAGACTGCCCTTCATGCAAAGATATGTTCACTTCATAAAAAAATGTGTTTGGAACTTCACCATGTCTACTGGTCCTCACTGGTGAACAAAGACATGAACACCATAACTTTAGGTTTCAATGAAAAACATTTATCTATATAGTAATATAGATATGTTTTTCCATGTAAAAATCCATATGTTTTTCCATATAAAATCCCAGTAAACAAATCCCAATAGACTCAGTTCCTCCCCCACACAGTGTTTAATCTAACATAAAATGTTATAGTTGCTACAACAAAAAACACAACGGTACACAGTGTGTAACTACACACAAACTTTAATCTATAATAATTTATTCAGCTTTAGCACCAACAAATAACTGTAAATCCCTCCATAACCATGCTATAATTGCAAGAATTATCCCTAGCAATACAACACATTCCCTTTCTGCATTTATACACACATGCACGTGGAAAGCTATCACCAAATGTAATAAAAATTACTGCTAGATAAGAAAATACAGCTTGGTAATTACACTGCTCTTTGGCTCAATCCTCAGATCACAATAAAAACCAGTGCAAAAGTTCACTGCATTATTACCTCACCTCTTAACATTTGATCTCATTTCCACACTACCTATACCTTCCTGATAACATGCTTATGTTAGATGAGTTTGTCTCCTCCACGTGCATATGCAACTCCTTGGTTTAAAGATACAAAATATGAACACATGGTATTTCTTTTCCTGGTGGTTTTGTTTGTTCTTCTGTTCTTCTGGGGTTTTTCTTACAAATTATATGCCAACAGCTCTCAGGCACAATTTTAAAGGACATTTTCATCAATGCTCTTTTATCTTATCCTGGTGTCTCCTTGTATCACAGTAATTACTAAGTCTTTGTACATAAAGGTTAAAGTGCACTTCCACTTTATAATACAGCTATCAGTTCATTTCTGTAGGGAACACCTCAGAACAGCACAGCACGCCAGGCAATGCCTTTAGCAGCAAACTGGTGGAGAGGGAATCACTGAGATGAGAGAACGTCACTCTGCCTTACACCACAAGAGATGTTGCTGGCTTTCTTGCTGTTCATTTGGCATTCACAATCCAAAATCTCTGCCCCACCCCTGAGCCAAATCATTCCTCCAGGAACTATTGTAAGGGAGAGACAGCTGCAGAGCATTTTCTTTGATATTCTGAGCGAGAAGGTGAAATTGTAGGCCCCTTGTTACAAACAGAATAAATGCTTTCACCTGTGATGGCAGGACCATCACCCAGTCCAGCACCTGAGGGATCTCAGAGGTCTTTTTCAACTTTAATGATTCTATGAATCCACCTTTATTTCCCAGCTTCCCAAAATGTGGCCTGAATATCCCACATAATTGCTACTGGATTTAAATGGCATGCAGGGTACTTAATCCTTCCTTTGCTACTCACTGAACTGCAGACAGCGAGTTTAACCTCAAATGCAGAGAGCTCACCTAAAATGAAAATGCTCTCCAAGAGCAGTTTTTTTTTAAATTGACAATCTTTAGAGAAAAATCCATATTTAACAGCTGCAGTGGAATGGGCTTGACATTTTCATTTTCCCACTAAAAGCACCACAGCTATACAGTGATATGACACAAATTGTTGGGATGGGTTCCCAACAGCAGGTTTTCCTACTACCAACAGGAGTTTTCTGTCACAAAGAGGTTTAACTTCAATAACCAGCCTGTATTTACACTGTGCCCCTGCAGTGACACATGGCAGCCAGTAAAAAATTCCACTCAGAAACCAAACATTGCTTGGGCTAAGAGAATATTTTCTCCCCTGCCTTTTATATTATGAACTATGTCTAAATTTCTTGGAGCTTTTATTTTATTACCTAGGAATAAACTATGAAACAGTTTCCTCTTAACAAACCCTTTGGTTCAGTCCTGTGGGAATACGATATCCCACTCAACGTTTCCACAAATAGATCAGAAATTACTACATTCACCCTGACAGTAATTAGAGACAGATGCAGTTTTGAACGGAGGCCTGCATTTTATGTTATGGTATCAATTCTGATCAAATAAGTTCAGTATTATTTGATTAAATAACAGCAAGATTTGGCCCTGAATGCTGAGGTGCTGCAACACACTGGTACAAGCACTGTTGTGGCACAAGCACTGCTGGCTTTCACCCATGTTTTTGCACATTTCTGGGAGGAAAACAAGCGAGATGACACGCAACCTAAGCAAGTATTTGAATTAAGATCACTGAGAGAGTTCTGAGCACAAAGCAGGCCCCTGGAAGCTCTGGAAGAGGAGCCATGTGTATAAAGGCAGCATACTTCAAATCATGGCATGGAGCCAACAGCAAGCTTCCAGAAAACTGGCAGGCTTGGGATATATCCCACAACACAGCCACTGCAGCATTTACATGCTGAGGGAAAAAAAGCTACTGAAAGTGATCGCAGACACAAACAATCCTAGCAACATACTACAGTCCTCTTCCTCTGAAAGTTACATTCCAGTTTGGCAATTTCAGTTTGCTTGGACTTTCATGTTTGGGGTAAATGACACACACCTTCCAACAGAAAGCAAAATCCCACACACAGAAATGGAATTTTTTACCTCACACAGATGTAATTCAGCAGGAAGCCAGGAAGCTTCCTTCAAGGTAGAAGTTTTGGCACATAGTTTAACTTGCCTGTTTAGAGCCTTTCTGTTGCTGGTAGACAGTTTTGCACCCCATAACCTGTTCCCCAGCATTCAAGTTTAATGAAAAGCAGTAGTAAACCAGAATGAAATACACATACTCTATCCAAAGACAAACACGTCTTTAAAGAAAATAACTAGCAGATGTTTTCTGTCCTGCCTTGCTCCTTTTGACTTACACAGGCCCTGCCTGTACACATCAGACATCCAGAGCCTTAAGAGGCTTTTCCTAAAAGACACAGAGCATATGTTTAGATCTATAAGAAGTCCTGCTGGCAGCATGTGTACACTGTTAACTTTTCTAAACACTCATTTAAGGAATTTTCTGGGGGTATTTTAACCTCGAGAGACTTTTGGGCAACAAATTAACGTAACTTTTAAAAAGCCTACTCACTTCACCCCATATTCAATTGGCTTCTGCTTAAGAAAAGTGGTTAATTAACAAAATTGAACTGAATTAGAATATGATTTTGTACGGAGAGTTACGTGCTACTATATGGCAAATCCTTCCTAACCATCCTTGAACACTGAAACCCCTCAAATCTCCTGATATTCACTATTTATGACTATAAAAATCCCAGGCTCATGGGACAACTGAATAATGTGGAATGAAGTTTACAAGTCTGACTTCACAGAACCATTCCTTAAATAGGAATATTTTGTGTGTTCTGTAAATATTTTTTAGTCTCAAAGTACTTCAGGACAATAACCCATGGGGAGAGCAGCTCAGCCCCAGCACTTCTCATGGCTCCCAGGCAGAGGGATGGGCGATGACTCAGGTCTCTCATCCCCTCTGGAACAGGACTGCTGGCCAGGAGGCTGTAATATCCATCTGCTCGGGTTCCTGAGGAGCTGCCAGCTCCAGCAGCCCTTCCAGAGAGGGCAAACCTTCGTCTGACACTTGCTGCAGACAACTGTGTCCCGGCAGGGCACACCTCTCCTTGCTGTCACTACAATGAGCTGCTCTGGGATAACTGCACAGTCAGTATTGCCATCATACCTCTCTGAAACAAGACTGCCAAATATTTTGAAAATCACGATTTGCTCTTAGTGCTTGAGGTGTTTAAAGTGGCACTATATATGTTTTTCTAAAAGAGACAGTGCAGTAGAACAGATATCCCGAGAAGCCAACACAGGGAGACTTAGCAGTTCTTTCCTGCTTGAAGACTTTCACTTCTAGGACTGATGGCAAAGCATTATTCCCCAAAAGGTAATTTTTACAGGTCAGCATTTTCCTTTTTTTTAAAAAAAAAACCTATACAGTCTCATTCTGAAAATATCAACATGCTGTCTTACTTCTGACTGTTGATGCACGTTGCCAGGCGAGGTGCTGATAAACACACACTTGCATCATGTTATTTCACAAAATATTAACGTGACCACATTTATTATACGTAATGACACGGAGTGGAAACTGTAACATGGCCACAGCAAAAAAACAAGGCCCTGACACAAATCCACTGGCTGCACATGCCCTGCCACAGGGTCTGTCCGAAGGTTAGGAGTGCCAGAGCATCCGGGATGGGGCGAGGGGAAGTGGGGAAGAAGGGAAGAAGATTGGTCAAATCTTCACCTTCCCAGCTGAGGTGGGGTCCGCTCACCCCTTCCCAAGCGAGCTGGGGTCCGCTCGGAGCCCCTCGCAAGGGCAGCCTCAGCTCACCGGGGCCAGCGCCCATCCCAGCCGGGAGAGGCTCAAAGTTTGCTGTCCGGCAGAGGGACCTTTGTATCTGCTGTGTCTTCTAAGATAAAAATCAAGCGGATCCTCGTGTTTTTTTGTTCTTGGCAGGGTGCTGATACGAGAACCTCCATTTTCAAGATTTATTTGAGGATTGTAAAGATCGAATCACGGTTGGATCGTGCTCACGGAGTAGCGGTTTTCTTCTTCTCAAGCGGAAGCCGAAGGATTAAAAGCCCGACGCGGGAGAGGTGAGGATTCACCCGGGACCAGCCCCGTCTCACAGACGCCAGCCTGCAGACCCCGGGCAGGAACCAGAGCCCCCCAAACCCCCAAACCACGCTCGCCTCCGCTCCCGGTTCCCCGGGGGGACAAGGGCGGAACAGAGCCACGATCCCCCCTCCTCGCCCTCTCCTACCGTCCGCAGACAGAGCCATCTCGATGAGGGTCTCGTTGGCTTTCTTCCCCAAGCGGTTCATGGTGGCCGCCTTTCCGCTGCTGCTGCTGCCGCCGGGGAGCGGCCGCGGAGGCGAGCGGTGACTCAGGGCGGCGGGGCCGCCTTATGCATGCGCACTGCCCGCGGGGCGGAGCGGGGCCGGCCCGGGCCGGGGGAGCCGCCGCCGACCGGGGCCGGGCGGGGCCGGGCGGGGCCGGGGGAGCCGCGGGATCCGCCACGGAGAGGGGCCGGGCGGGGCCGGGGGAGCCGCGGGATCCGCCACCGAGAGGGGCCGGGCCGGGCCCAGTGGGGCCGGGGGAGCCGCCGCAGCCGCCGCCGCCCAGCGGGGCCGTGCCCCCCGGAATTGCGGTGCGAGGGCTCTCCTGGCCTGTACGGGACAGCCCCGGCAATTCGGCAGCGGAGTCCATGGTATGTGTGATGTGTGTTCGGCTGTGTCCCCTCCCACGCTGCTTGTGCACCCGCAGGAGCAGAACGCACCTTGCATTCCTTGCTCGGCTGTATCGAAAGCAGCCCTCGGTTAGCAGCGCTGTTCTTGTCACAAAGGCAAAACTTAGACCCATGTGAAAAATGCGAATTTTATGATTGGCTTTTCGCAGATATTGAAATGAATGTTATATGTGTTGTGTTAGAAAGTTATGCTGTAATAATTTTCTTAAGTAATGTGTTAAATGTAGTTTTAGGTTATAACATAATGCTAAAATAGAAACTATGCTATGTAAGATACATTTTTTGTAAAAAAAAGGATTCACACTGAGATAGCAGCCACAGGACACCTGAATCTTTCAGAGAAAGAGAATTTATTGCCCCATTATCAAGAGAAACGAAATTCTTCCCACTTTGCTCAGCCCTGAAGATGCCATCAGGGTTCACAGGAAGAAGCTGACACTGCCCAGACAGAATCCTGTGTTTGAATGGAATTTATGCATCATGGATGAGCTGTATGAATGTGCAACAGGCTGTTGCTTTTAAGGGTTAATCCTCTGTTAACGTGGGGCCTTTTTTAGGTTTATGCTGCCCAGAAAGAGGCACCCAGACTGTCCATAACTCTTTGCTCTTATTGTCTCGTATTGTCCTAATCCCAATTGTTCAAATTTTATTACTCTAATTATATTGCTATTTGCATAACCATTTTATTACTATTAAACTTCTAAAATTTTAAAAACAAGTGATTGGCGTTTTTCATGCCGATAAAAGCTACAATGAAGCAATTTAACTCTTGTGGAGGGGCTCACAGCTGCTGTCCCTGCTCCTGGAGCTGCTACCATTGCCACGTCTAACAGCCCCAGCTACTTATTGCTTCCTTCTATCATCTGAGACAGTTTCCAACAGTATATATATTTAATACATTTTTTTGTTCATTAATATAAGCTCAGGCCTTCTTTCAAATGAACTTTTTGTATATTCATCTTCTACTACCTAGTAACCGTTTTGCATACGAAACTGACAGGGAGTTTTGTTACTTAGGCAACTGTAACGCAACAGCACTTTCATGACCGATAGGAATTAATGGAATTCTTAATAAAAAGTTAATCAAGTCTGTCAGTTGAGTTGCTGGGCTTGTTTTCAGATCTGTATACAGTGCTAAGCCTTTATTTGTGCAACATGACTGCTTCAAGGAGTATATTTTTAGCCAGGAGCAAGACCTAAAAATGTGTCTGGTTGCTCTCCAAAGCCCAAGATGTTTAGTCGGGGTTTCAATGTCCCAATGCAGGATGGTGGGAACACAGAGGAAGGGCTTGGTGCACCAAAGGCTGCCCTGAAACAGCCTGGGACTGCATACAGTGCGCCAGATCACAAGGCTCTGTCTCAGAGCTGCACTTCCAAGCCTTTAATTTCCTCCTAGCACTACATATCTTGGATAAATGCATTTATACCCACAGAATGTGCAAGTATAGTTGCTGTTCAACAAGAGCCAGAAACAGCAAGAAGTGCCATGGTCATTGCTCAGTTTTGCTCCTAATTGCACGCTGGCTGTTCCCAGCTCCACCCAGCAGCAAACCCAGCCATACCTAAAGCCGTGTGAGTGCCTCAGCCAGAATGCCAAAGATTATTTCAGTGACCCTTGTAATTGCACAGGCTGATAGTGCGTTGAGCGCTGACTTTGTGCAAATTACACAAAGGGTAATTTGTGGTAGGGATAGGACAGGAGGATGCTCCTCCAGAATGAGGAATCTGTGGAGGCGCACAGGAGGTCTGTGCAATACCCAGCACTGAATTTCCTTGCACGTTCAGAGCTGAACCAGCCACTGTCTGACTCGGTGGGTTCACAGTTTGCCCACTCTTCCTTCCAAGGCCACACATGTTTTTTCCCTCCCACCTTCCAGGAGATATCAGTCTGAATAAGGAATGCTGATAAGGTGATGCATGACTTACGTCAACCTATTAAACCAAATAATCATGTTATTGGTTTGGGGTTTTGGGGGGCTTTCAGCTCCACAAATCACTGCAAGCAACAGGCAAGGCCAAAATAAAGGGAGAGATGGCAAACCACACAATTTTATTCCTAAAATATTAATACAATAGCCAGGTACATATTTTTCAAATATTGAAAGGAATATTATATGCGTTATGTTAGAAAGTTATGCTGTATTAATTTTCTTAAGTAGTGTGTTAAATATACTTTTAGGTTATAACAATGTTAAAATAGAAACTATGCTATGTAAGATACTTTTTTAAAAGAAAGAACTTGCAGCGAGGTAGCAGCCATAGGACACCTACTTCTTTTAGACAAAGAGAATTTATTGCTACATTATCAGAAGAAATGAACTTCTTCCTCCCTCGCTCAGTTCTGAAGACGCTGTGAGGATTCAGAGGAAGAAGCTGGCACTGCCCAGACAGAATCCTGTGTTTGAATGGAATTTATGCATCATGTATGAAGTGTATGAATATGCAACAGGCTGTTGCTTTTAAGGGTTAATCCTCTGTTAATGTGGGGCCTTTTTCGGGCTCATGCTGCCCAGAAAAGGTACCCGGAGTGTCTGTAATTGTATTACTCTAATTATATTTTTATAACCATTTTGTTACTATTAAACTTTTAAAATTAAAAAAAACCAAAAAGTGATTGGCGTTTTTCACAAGCCTGTGCTCCACAAACTCTTCCTGCACATCACTCAGTGGCTGTTTGAGATCTGACTCTTGTTTCCCGTTCCACACAGCTCCCCAGGGAAATCCAGCAGCTTGCACACCACGGTGAGGGGCTCAGAAACACAGCAAGGCTTGCTGATGGGCAGTGAATTTGTGTATGGAGAGACACAGCAAGGCTTGCTGATGGGCAGTGAATTTGTGTATGGAGAGACACAGCAAGGCTTGCTGATGGGCAGTGAATTTGTGTATGGAGAGACACAGCAAGGCTTGCTGATGGGCAGTGAATTTGTGTATGGAGAGACACAGCAAGGCTTGCTGATGGGCAGTGAATTTGTGTATGGAGAGACACAGCAAGGCTTGCTGATGGACATCTGAATTTGTGTATGGAGAGACACAGCAAGGCTTGCTGATGGGCAGTGAATTTGTGTATGGAGAGACACAGCAAGGCTTGCTGATGGACATCTGAATTTGTGTATGGAGAGACACAGCAAGGCTTGCTGATGGACAGTGAATTTGTGTATGGAGAAGCACAGCAAGGCTTTCTGATGGGTAGTGAATTTGGGTGTGGAGAGACACAGCAAGGCTTGCTGATGGACATCTGAATTCGTGTATTGAGAAACACAGCAAGGCATGCTGATGGCCATGTGAGTTTGTGTATCATGAAGCACAGCAAGGCTTGCTGATGGGCAGTGAATTTGTGAATAGAGGGACACAGCAAGGCTTGCTGATGGGCATGTTAATTTGTGAATAGAGGGACACAGCAAGGCTTGCTGATGGGCAGTGAATTTGGGTGTGGAGAAGCACAGCAAGGCTTGCTGATGGGCATGTTAATTTGTGAATAGAGAAACACAGCAAGGCTTTCTGATGGGCAGGTTAATTCGTCTATCGAGAGAGCCGATTCTTTCTGCCTGCTACTGCACCGCCCTAAATCCATCAGGAAACGGAAAGGGAGTGTCGCAAAGAGCTGTGGTGAGACGCGGCAGAGTGCCAGCGCTGCTCAAGGGAAGTAAAAACTTCACTAAGTATGCAGAAAGTTCATCATTAGTCACCGCATTTTTTCCCTACGTCACCCCTTTCCAGTCAGCTGGAGTCGCAGAACGCAGCCAGCCATAAGCACCTTCAGTGTCTAAACAAGCAGATGCCTTTACAGAACTGTTTTCCTTGGCCGGGGTTACACACCCGGACAATGGCAGAAGTGAAACCCAGGGCGGGTTTGCGGTGTCCCCGGGGGAAGGAAAGCCCGGGCGTGGCTCCGGGGCAGCGCTCGCTCCGTGCCCGGGATCGGGAGAGCTGAGCCCAGCCGGGACCCCCCCTTGGGAACGGACACACGTCCCGGTGCTGGAATCCCGCAGTCACACTGCTGTGAAAAACGCCAACCGCTTGTTTGTAAAGTTTTTAAAAGTTTAATGGTAATTAAATGGTTAAAAAGGATAGTAACACAACTGGAGTGATGACAATCTGGATAAACTCAAATAGGGCAATATGAGACAGTAAAAACAAAGAGTTGCGGACGTCCGGGTACCTTTTTCTGGGCATCACGAGCCCGAAAAAGGGCCCCGTTAACAAAGGATTAACCCTTAAAAACAATAACCTGTTGCATATTCACACACCTCATACATGATGCATAAATTCCATTCAAACACAGGATTCTGTCTGGTCAGCATCAGCTTCTTCCTCCAAATCCTGACAGCGCCTTCGAAGCAGGAAGAAGTTCGTTTCTTCTGATAAGAAGGCAATAAATTCTCTTTCTCTGAAAGATTCAGGTGTCCTGTGGCTGCTATATCCCTGCAAGCCCTTTCTGTTAAACAAAGCATCTTATATAGCATAGTTTCTATTTTAACAATTTTTATAACCTAAAACTATATTTAACACAGTACTTAAGAGAATAAATACAGCATAACTTTCTAACACAACACATATAATATTCATTTCAATATTTGCAAAAACCCAATCATAAAATACATGCATTTTCCACAACTGCCTTAACTGGAT